GTGGAGCGGCTGGAGCGGGGCCGCCGGCGGCTGCAGCAGGAGCTGGACGACGCCACCATGGACCTGGAGCAACAGCGGCAGCTCGTGAGCACGCTGGAGAAGAAGCAGCGCAAATTCGACCAGGTGGGCCCCCTCGGTCCCCCGAACCGCGTTACTCTGCTGGGCCGGCAGGATGCTAATCCTGCCTCCCAGGGTCACTGTGGGCAATGAGGAATGTGTGATGTCACAGCTCCACTGTGAACTTGGCGGGGGGGCGGGGATCCTAGGGCAAGATGCTTCTTCCCTCTGGGTCTATAAAATAAGACACCCATTGGTAGCCCCTCCTTTTCCTCCCAAACATGTCCTGAAGGTGCACCAAAGGGTGCTGGCGAGGATTAAATGAAATACATCTCACTGCTCCTGCCGGCTCTCCGTGTGCCTTGGGCAAACGGCTTTCCCCATTTCAGCCTCAGTGTGCCCATCTAGGAAATGGGGTTAGTAACAAGCATCGGGCGGTCTGAAGATGAAATAAAGATCACACAACCCCAGCGCATTAAGATCAGCCAACCTGGAGTTTTGGATCTCAGCTCAGTCCCTTCCAGGCTGTGTGGCTGGGCAAACTGCTCCACCCTCTCTGAGCCTGGTGTTTTTTTTCATCTAGAAAATGGAGGCATCATTATTGTGCCTTCACTTTTGAAAGCTATTTTCACTGGATAGAGAATTCTAGGTAAACAGTTTTGTTCTTTCAGCACTTGGGAGAGATCATCCCATGATCTCTGGCTTCCATCGTCTCAAATGAAAAGTTAGCAGACATTGAAATCATGGTTTCCCTGAGGGTCACGTGATATGTTTTTCTAGCTGGTTTAAGTTTGTTCTCTTTATCGTTGGTATGTAGCCATTTGGCAGTATCTACCTCTTCTAGGTCCTAGGCACTTTCATATGTATTTCAGAATCAGTTTGTCAGTTTCTGCACCATAAAAATCCTCCTGATTTGAGATTGTGTTGAATCTCTAAGTCAATTTGGAAAGAACTGACATCTTAATAATATTGAGTTTTCCAGCCCGGGAACATGATCCATCTATTTAGATCTCTATTTTTTTAATATATTTGTTATTGATTTCAGAGAGGAAGGGAGAAGGAGAGGGATAGAAACATCAATGATGAGAAAGAATCATTGACCAGATGCCTCCTGCAGGCCCCCTACTGGGGATCAAGCCTGCAACCTGGGCATGTGCCCTAGCTGGGCCCCAACCAGGAATGGAACCATGACCTCCTGATTCCCAGGTCAATGCTCAACCACTGAGCCACGCTAGCCGGGTTAGATCTTCTTTTTGGGGGAGTGGGGATGGGGGCTTAGATTTTTAATTTAGCTCAGGAATGTTTTGTAATTTTCAGTGTATATCTTTCACATCTTTTTTCAGATTTATTTCTAAGCATTTTATATTTTTGATGCTATTTTAATGGTATTGTTTTTGTTTCAATTTCTGACTGCTAGGTTATAGAAATACAATCAATTTTTGTATATTTTGATATTGCTTCCTATAGTCTAGCTAAACTCGCTTATTAGTGCTGGTAGATTTTTTTTCTAGATCCCATTGGGCTTCTTCCAGTTCCAAACACATGTATGTTTGACTGTCTGGTGCTGTCTTGTGGGTTATTAAAGCTCTGTTAATTTTTAAAAAATATATTTTTATTGATTTCAGAGAGGGAGAAGGAGAGAGAGATGGAAACATCAATGGTGAGAAAGAATCATTGATTGGCTGCCTCCTGCAGGCCCCCTCCTGGGGATCGAGCACGTAACCCTGGCATGTGCCCTTGACTGGAATTGAACCCGGGACCCTTCAGTCTGCAAGCTGACGCTCTATCCATTGAGCCAAACCAGCTAGGACTGTTAATTTTTTCATACTTTTTTTTTTTTTCTTCACTCTATTTGGATCATTTCTATTGACCTGTTTTCAAGTGTACTAATTCTTCTGTGTCTAATCTACCCTCAGTTTCTTCCATGGACATTTTGAGTTTGGAAATTATAGTTTTTAGTTCTGATTGGTTCTGTTTCACCATTTCTAATTCCTCCTGAAATAACCATCTCTTCATCCATTGTATCTGTCTTGTCCTGAAACTTACTTATCATAGCCCTTGTGTGATGATATCAAGGTCATCTGTGGATCTATTTTCATGGACTGATTTTTCTCTTGACTGAATCCACCCTCTTCCTTGCTTTGCCTCTATTGTGGGAATGGAACCATGACCTCCTGATTCCCAAGTCAATGCTCAACCACTGAGCCACGCTAGTTTGCGATCTTAATCCCTCTACCTCCCTCTTGTGTCTCTGCCTCTGCCTATCTGCCTATCTGTCTGTCTGTCTCTGTCCCTGGCTGCTCCCTATTCCCCACCCCCTTGTACTCTCCTTTCAGCTAATCTATTTCCCCCACCCTGTCTCCCGCAACCCCCAAGCTCCTGGCAGAGGAGAAGGCCGCTGTGCTGCGGGCGGTGGAGGAGCGCGAGCGGGTGGAGGCCGAGGGCCGGGAGCGTGAGGCCCGGACCCTGTCGCTGACTCGGGCGCTGGAGGAGGAGCAGGAAGCGCGTGAGGAGCTGGAGCGGCAGAACCGGGCCCTCCGGGCGGAGCTGGAGGCACTGCTGAGCAGCAAGGATGACGTGGGCAAGAGCGTGAGTGGGGGCCCCCTCCCCAGACACCCCTGTGACAACTGCATGCACACGTGTGCTGTCACCTGCAGAGCATGAAGGGACCCAGTCATCCATGTCACGTGTTCATACACACGCACACGACAGGAGCAGAGCTGCTGACCAAACCCACGTGTTCACATACACACAGACCATGTGGAGAATCTTCCGTCGAACACACGTGTTCACACACAACACGTGAGCGCTGCCCACAAAACATACCTGTCGTGTGTGTGTCCATGGCATGTGAGGAGAATCTTCCATGAAGCACAGACGTTCACGTGTACACAGAGCATGAACATCACTCGTCACACATGCGTGTGAATACTCTGAGACAGAAAACATGAAGAGAATTTACTACAACACACACAGGCTGAGAATCACTCCCTAGACATGAGTATGTGCACACACACACACACAGTGTGAGGAGACCCCCACCTCGTCACCCCGAAGCCCACACAGGCCTTCCCCACCAGGCCTCTGACTTCCCCCGACTCATACATCCATTGAGCCAAACCAGCTAGGACTGTTAATTTTTTCATACTTTTTTTTTTTTTCTTCACTCTATTTGGATCATTTCTATTGACCTGTTTTCAAGTGTACTAATTCTTCTGTGTCTAATCTACCCTCAGTTTCTTCCATGGACATTTTGAGTTTGGAAATTATAGTTTTTAGTTCTGATTGGTTCTGTTTCACCATTTCTAATTCCTCCTGAAATAACCATCTCTTCATCCATTGTATCTGTCTTGTCCTGAAACTTACTTATCATAGCCCTTGTGTGATGATATCAAGGTCATCTGTGGATCTATTTTCATGGACTGATTTTTCTCTTGACTGAATCCACCCTCTTCCTTGCTTTGCCTCTATTGTAAATGTTGTTTTAAATCACTGTGCCTGGAAAAAAAAACAGTAAAGGTTCAAGTACATTTTTGAAATATAGGTATATGTTTTCTTCTATCACTTCCCCAAAAGGAAGAAACCCTTTCCTCTGTTCAGTGTCCACAGTGAGCAGCTGATGAGTTTGACCCATTGAAGAGCGGAGCTAGTTTGCGATCTTAATCCCTCTACCTCCCTCTTGTGTCTCTGCCTCTGCCTATCTGCCTATCTGTCTGTCTGTCTCTGTCCCTGGCTGCTCCCTATTCCCCACCCCCTTGTACTCTCCTTTCAGCTAATCTATTTCCCCCACCCTGTCTCCCGCAACCCCCAAGCTCCTGGCAGAGGAGAAGGCCGCTGTGCTGCGGGCGGTGGAGGAGCGCGAGCGGGTGGAGGCCGAGGGCCGGGAGCGTGAGGCCCGGACCCTGTCGCTGACTCGGGCGCTGGAGGAGGAGCAGGAAGCGCGTGAGGAGCTGGAGCGGCAGAACCGGGCCCTCCGGGCGGAGCTGGAGGCACTGCTGAGCAGCAAGGATGACGTGGGCAAGAGCGTGAGTGGGGGCCCCCTCCCCAGACACCCCTGTGACAACTGCATGCACACGTGTGCTGTCACCTGCAGAGCATGAAGGGACCCAGTCATCCATGTCACGTGTTCATACACACGCACACGACAGGAGCAGAGCTGCTGACCAAACCCACGTGTTCACATACACACAGACCATGTGGAGAATCTTCCGTCGAACACACGTGTTCACACACAACACGTGAGCGCTGCCCACAAAACATACCTGTCGTGTGTGTGTCCATGGCATGTGAGGAGAATCTTCCATGAAGCACAGACGTTCACGTGTACACAGAGCATGAACATCACTCGTCACACATGCGTGTGAATACTCTGAGACAGAAAACATGAAGAGAATTTACTACAACACACACAGGCTGAGAATCACTCCCTAGACATGAGTATGTGCACACACACACACACAGTGTGAGGAGACCCCCACCTCGTCACCCCGAAGCCCACACAGGCCTTCCCCACCAGGCCTCTGACTTCCCCCGACTCATACATCCCTCCAGGGCCTGTGAGGGGCACCCCAGGCCTGTTCCCAGGCCCCCTCACCCAGCCAGTGCCCAGCCTTCTGAAAGGCCCACCCTCCCCTCATCCTTCCTTCACCCAATACATATGTTTGTGAGAGACCCCCATCTTGTCACCCCGAAGCCCACACAGGCCTTCCCCACCAGGCCTCTGACTTCCCCCGACTCATACATCCCTCCAGGGCTTGTGAGGGGCACCCCAGGCCTGTTCCCAGGCCCCCTCACCCAGCCAGTGCCCAGCCTTCTGAAAGGCCCACCCTCCCCTCATCCTTCCTTCACCCAATACATATGTTTGTGAGGCACCAGCCATGCCAGGCCGGGGGCAGAGCCACCTGCTTGATGACAGAGACACTGACTGAACGCATGTTTATTTTTTTAAAAAATATATATTTTATTGATTTTTAAAAATTGTTTTATTGCTTAAAGTATTACAAAGAGTATTACATAGGTCACTGAGCCATGGTCACACCAGACACAGTCCCTGCCCCGTGGAACCGCAGTGCAGTGTGGGAGGCCGGTGTTGTAAAAGGACCGTTAAGCACGTGTTAAATGACCATGTGATGAGGGGTGAGTCGGAGAGGGGCTCAGGGTCAGGAGTGTGGGTAACAGGGAGGCCCTGACAGGTCAAGGGACACTTCTCTGAGGACGCGACAAAGAGAGATGGGGGCAGGGGTTTCTCTCTAAGAATCCATAAGCCCAGATCTGTTTCACGGTGTATTTGTGTGGGTTTTTTAATAATTTACGCTTCCCTGAAAGGTCTGGGAGCCCCCCCCCCAAGCTGAGATATCCTGGGGAGTCTGAAGTTGCACACTTTCAACCCATTTCCACACAAGATTCCCGAAGATGAAGTCCCAGTGAAATGAACTCACAATCCAAACTCACAAAACCCGTGAGAAAATAACCCACCATGAGTGAGAGTCAGCTGACCCAACAGACACTTGAATTGGACTCTCAAGAGCTTTCAGATAATAGAATGATCATACTCAGGTTCTTCATAAAATGCTTTTGAATGGCTCAGAATGAGACATAGTAAGTCGGTGCACAGGAAATGCTGGAGGCGTGAATGAGTGAACGAACTAGGATGGGCACATGGGTTTGGGGTCCCCTCACTCCCCCAGGGTCCTGGCCTGCCCCCTCCCTAGTGACCCCGGTGCCCCCCACCAGGTACATGAGCTGGAGCGAGCCCGCCGGGCGGCAGAACAGGCGGCCAGTGACCTGCGAACGCAGGTGACAGAGCTGGAGGACGAGCTGACGGCTGCCGAGGACGCCAAGCTGCGCCTGGAAGTGACCGTGCAGGCTCTCAAGGCCCAGCATGAGCGAGACCTGCAGGGCCGAGACGAGGCTGGCGAGGAGAGGCGGCGGCAGCTGGCCAAGCAGGTACCCGCGGGAGCTGCAGGGTGGCATCCAGCTGGCTGTGCCTTGGGGCTTCCAGGGGGCGAGAGGCCGGAAGTCCCCGGGGGGGGTTCTCTCTAAGAATCCATAAGCCCAGATCTGTTTCACAGTGTATTTGTGTGGGTTTTTTTTAAAATAATTTATGCTTCCCTGAAAGGTCTGGGAGCCCCACCCCCCCAAGCTGAGATATCCTGGGCAGTCTGAAGTTGCACACCTTCAACCCATTTCCACACAAGATTCCCAAAGATGAAGTCCCAGTGAAATGAACTCACAATCCAAACTCACAAAACCCGTGAGAAAATAACCCACCATGAGTGAGAGTCAGCTGACCCAACAGACACTTGAATTGGACTCTCAAGAGCTTTCAGATAATAGAATGATCATACTCAGGTTCTTCATAAAATGCTTTTGAATGGCTCAGAATGAGACATAGTAAGTCGGTGCACAGGAAATGCTGGAGGCGTGAATGAGTGAACGAACTAGGATGGGCACATGGGTTTGGGGTCCCCTCACTCCCCCAGGGTCCTGGCCTGCCCCCTCCCTAGTGACCCCAGTGCCCCGCGCTCACTCTCTCTCCCCCCACCAGGTACATGAGCTGGAGCGAGCCCGCCGGGCGGCAGAACAGGCGGCCAGTGACCTGCGAACGCAGGTGACAGAGCTGGAGGACGAGCTGACGGCCGCCGAGGACGCCAAGCTGCGCCTGGAAGTGACCGTGCAGGCTCTCAAGGCCCAGCATGAGCGAGACCTGCAGGGCCGAGACGAGGCTGGCGAGGAGAGGCGGCGGCAGCTGGCCAAGCAGGTACCCGCGGGAGCTGCAGGGTGGCATCCAGCTGGCTGTGCCTTGGGGCTTCCAGGGGGCGAGAGGCCGGAAGTCCCGCCCTCCCACCTACCCACCTGCTCTCCAAGTCCCATCTGCTAGCCCACCAGCCTCCTCTTCCCCAACTCATTCCCCACCACGGCCCTAGCCCGCAGCACCCCCCTCCCCTCGCACTCATCACGTGCTCACTGACCAGCTGTCCACACCCCCTTCACCCACAACCTCACTCCCTCCTTCACTTCCTCTTCCACCTGCTTCCTCCTGTGTCCCATCCATTCACCCCCCACCATTCATTCATTGCTCTTCAGTCCTGTGGTCTGTGGCGGGCGGGGCCTCTACTAGGTGATGGGTACTGAGCATGGGGGGCGGGGCAGCTCTGAGTGTCAGAAAGACCCCTTGGAGCAGTGGTTCTCAACCTTCCTGATGCCGCGACCCTTTCATACAGTTCCTCATGTTGTGGTGACCCCCAACCATAAAATTATTTTCGTTGCTACTTCATAACTGTAATTTTGCTACTGTTATGAATCGTAATGTAAATATCTGATATGCAGGATGTATTCTCAGGGGTCGCGACCCACAGGTTGAGAACCGCTGCCTTGGAGCCTGGTGGGCAGCAGACTGGAGGGGGAGAAACTGGAGCTGGGAGGCCTGGAAGGAGAAATGGAGACCGTGACCCAGGCTGGGGGGTCTCTGGGTATTTTTTTAAAAATATATTTTTATTGATTTCAGAGGGAAGAGGAGAGGGAGAGATAGAAACATCAATGATGAGAGAGAATCACGGATCAGCTGCCTCCTGCACGCCCCCTACTGGGGATTGAGCTGCAATGACTGGGAATAAACCAGTGACCTCTTGGTTCCTGGGTCCTGCTCAACCGCTGAGCCATGCGGGCTGGGCTCTCTGTGTATTTTTATCTCCCCTGATCCGGCCATGGGTGAAGGCCCAAGACTTGGTCCCCAGGGCGCTGGGGAGCCCTCGAGGGCCAGGAGCAGGGAAGGGGCAGGGTCAACTCTGAGTGTAGAGAGACCCTCTGGAGCCCCGCAGGACCGGGCGGGATGGGGGCTGGAGCGGGGATGGGCGCAGAGGGGAGGACTTGGAGGGGAGGCCGGGGCAGGAGGAACAGGGCTGCAGGTCCGGGCAGGGGTTGAACGTCTATGTCACTGGCATGTAGAGGGAGCCTGGGCCTCCTGTGCCCTGAGCCCATCCCTCCCCCCCAGCTGCGGGATGCAGAGGTGGAGCGGGATGAGGAACGCAAGCAGCGCGCCCTGGCGGTGGCCGCGCGCAAGAAGCTGGAGGCGGAGCTGGAGGAGCTGAAGGCCCAGACCTCGGCCGCGGGGCAGGGCAAGGAGGAGGCGGTGAAGCAGCTGCGCAAGATGCAGGTGAGGGGCGGGGCCTAAGCCGGTGAGGGCGGGGCTAAAGCCCGGGGATGGATGGCCCCACCTCCGCTCCCGGAGACCAGCTTGGGCCCCTCCCTACACACACCCCCCAGCAGCACCCAGATTTCCCACCGGCCTTATAACATCCACGCCCCAAAGGCTCACTTGGTTCTTTTAATATTTTTATTGCCTTTATTTAAAATGCTTAATTTTTAAGGCCAATTCACCCATTTTATTTAATTTTTGAAATAGAAATGACATTGTGAACGTTATATTTGGTTGTTTAGAAAAATGTTTTAAATAATGATGTATCAAGGTGGGTTCATCATTTGTAACAATGTCCCGCTCTGGGGGGGATGTCCATGGTGGGGAGGCGGTGCCTGGGAGCGGGGGTCTATGGAAAACCTCTGTGCCTTCTGCCCAATATTGCTGTGATCCTAAAACTGCTCTAAAAAGCCAAGTCGATTTTATTCTTTAAAAAATTTTTAATCCTCACCTGAGGATATGTCTTAATTGATTTTTAGAGAGAGGAAGGGAGAGAGAGAGAAACATCAATGTGAGAAAGAAACATCGATCACTTGCCTCCTGTATGCGCCCTGACTGGGGATCGAACCCGAAACCTAGGTATGTGTCCTGACCGGGATTTGAACCCACAGTCTTGGTGCACGGGACACCACGCCAAACAACTGAGCCAGGTGGCCAGGGCACCAGGTCTCTTTTTTTCTTACGTATAGAACTGGGCTGTCCACAGTGGGTGCCAGCCCCGTGTGGCTACTGGGCATCTATATAATGTGGTGGGT